TCTAGAGACAATCGTTAAAAAAAAAAAAATTCCAATTAACTTTTGGAATTAAGAGTTTGCATGGGCATAATGTTGAAGATGCCATTAAATGATCGTAAAATACAAGAAAAACAAGTGAAGAAATTAAGGAAGAATAAAATTTGAGTCTAATTGCAAGTTGATGATCATCGATGTAGTCTAAATAAACAATAAAATCTACCAACAAATATCAACAGCTCGAATCAACGTCGGGAACGCTGTAAGTGCACCAAATATGCTTCCTGTGCCTCCCAACACAAATTAAAATTATGCATCCGAAGCGTAAGTTTGGACAAGGCAATTAACTCCAATCTGTCTTTCGTTGTTTCTTGCAAGTCACAAGAAAGATGATTTTTTTTTTCGACGTTTCCTCATTATGGATATTTATTGGGTGAAAATGCTACTCCTAGCTTCCAAAGAAAGCTACACACTTATATGTCACTACCTCATTAGGCATGTCCATCATTTTTTTTATTATTGTTTCATTCTCCCCCCTCCCGATTTGAGAGTACTGAATTGCTACTTAGAACGTGGCCTACTTGACGGCTACATGTACATTATAGAAACTGTTGTGGATGGAATCGATTAAAGGATGGAGGACTAAGGCATATACAGAAAAGTCATCACGTACGGAAAGCAGTTGGATAATCTGAAAGCGGGGACAGCTTTTTTATTGGAAAAGGTCCCCAACCAGCCATCCCCTGCGTTCATCCCATGCTGACTTCTAGGCGAATTTCTGTTTTGAAAGTGTCCAGAAAATTTTGCAAGGGGAAAAAAAGTAGTAGTTGAACAGAAGACAAGACTAGGAGAGGAAGCCCTCGAGCACCTGGTGAGTTATTTAGGAAAACGTAAATGATCATTAATCCACACGGGACCAATTCATCCAGCAACTTAATCTAAGAACCAGCTCTTGATCGCTTTTTCTTCGTATCTGTTTCTTTTTGGGCAGTGCTAAAAAATCTGAGCAGTTTTCAGGAAGAGGAAAAATACTGGGCTGGGCAAATTAACTATGCACTGACTAGTCACCTGGATTCGTCGGTTGAGATATAATTCCAGTATCTGCGATCACTGATACCTGTTATTTTCAACCCCTTCCAAGAAATTGCAACGCAAATTCCGCCGCCATTCTTTTTCATCCAAACTTCCTGCGGCCAAAAATCAAGCACGTATATTGTCAAGCAAATTCAAATCCGTCGGTCAAACGCCACCAAGCCAAGAAAAACAGGAAATAGTGCACTGGAGCAAATAAATGCTACTAGAACAAGAAGCATAAAGAGAAAAACAAAAAACACATTGATTACTAGCAGTTATTGAGAAATCTTCAGTTCGGGTGTGAAAGATTCCAGTATTTGATCAAACATTGAGCTGCCCAAGGATGAACAGCATAGCCAGCCCATTCTACTGTTCATAACTCTATTCATTCTGTTATATAATTAGTACTAGATGGATAAATGCATGGCGCCGGTTTCCTAGTTGGTAGCACTCCGGCAGACGTCTGTGCTCATGGAAACTGAAGAGGAGAAGGTGGGAAGCCTACCATGGTGTCACCAGCAAAGCGATGAGCCAGACACAACCTGGCATATATCTCCTTCTTGGTGAAGTTAGATGTCTCAGTACTCTGATCACCTGAAGTTTGATGTTGATCATCAGCAGCAAAGAGCTTCTTCACAAGAATCTTGTAATTTGGAGGCAGCTTGGATTCCCAAACTGTATCAGCCAAAGAAGCTTGACGAAATCTTTGACTCAAAACCGCCAATCCACAAACATCACAAGGGTCAAGAAATGAAAGAATCAAGGCCACACAACTTTCTGGCAAGTCTGCAAGACCAGGCGGAGGTTTTGATGCTGCGGGGCCGATTTTGTCGACTTTACTGGAGTACTGGCGAGAAAAACCAGCCCCCATATTCAGTACCAGGATATCTAATGTAATCACAAAAGTAGTAAAGAAAGCCAGCCAGCCGTGCGTCACAAACTATATTAGGGAAATGGTGGATTATTACAGCAGTAGTTATTACTTAAGGTACGGAAAGGGGATTGGATCAGCACCACATATTAAATCTTGGAATCGTATCAGACGGGAAACTAAGAATAATAGGTTTAATGATTGGTTTTGAGATGGCAACGGAGCGAGAGGTGGGGAAGAATGGAGGTGGTGAAACACCAATGCCCTCTAATAGTGTGTACCGAGAAGGCAAAGTTTTGGGTAGAATTTGTGACCGAATTTTGTCACACCTTCCATTCTTAAATTAGTGAGATAGTGTAATAAAATTTATACTACATGAAATTGGTAAGATAGTGTGGTAAAATTTGGATCATAGGATCTACCCAAGTATTTTCCTGTCAAGAAAGTCATATGAATAAAAATAAAAAAATAAAATTAGATGATATTTGATTGAATATGACTAATAATAAAAATTAGCAAACATTTCAACAGATCCGATATATGTAAATTATGTAATCCAAATTTTGTCGCACTATCTCATCAATCCAAGACAATTGAAGATATTGTAAAATTTGTACCACATGATATAAAACCAGATCTCCCCACATTTTTATCGTAAAAAATTTGTTTCGTTAGACTTGAGAATAGACCGCGCCCACGATAACACCGACTGCTTAGGAAAAAGAAAAAAGAAAAAAGAAAAAAGTTGTGTGTTGGATATGGTATAAACAGGGGACGAAGTAATCAGCCCCCCACCATCCACTCCATCAGCCTCCACCGCTCAGCTGTCAGCACTGACGCCGGGGCTAATAAAGGCCATGTTTGTTTTAAGTTGCGAACACTAGAGAGAAAAATCTTAAATTTAAGCGAGGGAAGGTTGATCGAATTAATTAAATCTTACAATCAAATTTATGGTGATCTTATAAGTTGTTGTACAACTGCGGATGGAGCCTGTCCCATCCAATTACAAATCAAATTAATGTAATAACTAATAATAGGGATAATTGCAGAAACCTCCCCTGAGGTTTTTGACATTTGAATTGACCTCCCCTGTGGTTTGAAAAATTACACTGACCTCCCCTGAGGTTACTAATCCTTTGCAAATTCAGTCCAAACGATTAAAATATTGTTTTAGGGAGTGAAATTAGAATTTTGTACCAAATTTGTCCTTTGTACTACATGTCCAATGGATGACAAAGTATTATAAATCAATTAACAATTAATAAACTTTAAGGAGTATAGTTTATAGGCAAATACGCATTACCTATTTAAAGTATCGGCTCTTTATGGGTATTTTACTTTCAAACATTGAATTTAATACAAATACTTACGCTCAAATACAGATTTGTATTTACTTTCAAATATTTCATTTTTGTTAAATACAAAAACTACCAATCTGTCTTCCGTAAAAATATTAATATAACACTTTTCAATTTTAGTTACAAACATTTATGTATTTAAGATAAATTAAATGATTCAGAATAAAATGCACATAAAGAGCGAATACTTTACTCATGTAATGGATGAAAGCCATACAAAATTAATACTTTATGGCCATTTCTTTTTTTTAAAAAAAATATTTAATTTATATTAAATAAATAACCTACCGATTTTCTTTTTGCAAGAATATTACTATAACACTTTTTGAATTTTACTTACAAATATTGATATATTGAAATTAAAATACCCGTAAAGAGCCGATACTTTAAATGAGTAATGCGTGTTTGCCCATAAATTATACTCCTTAAAGTTTATTAATTGTTAATTGTTTTATAGTACTTTGTCATTCATTGGACATGTAGCACAAAGGGCAAATTTGGTACAAAATTCTAATTTCACTCCCTAAAATAATATTTTAATCGTTTGGACTAAATTTGCAAATGATTAGTAACCTTAGGGAAGGTCAGCGTAATTTTTCAAACCACAGGGGAGGTCAGTGCAAATGTCAGAAACCTCAGGGGAGGTTTCTGCAATTATCCCCTAATAATAATGAGTGTGTTTGGATAGCCAAATAATGGTCAAAATTTATTTGCTTACATCACAAATACAATTTTCAACACACTTTTTTATCTTTTCAATTACTTTTTTATCTCACCTACATCACATCACAAAAAGTATTACAGTAATTATTCCAAATAATATTTCAAATAATCTCTTATCCAAAGAAGGAACACTATACCGGCTCTACAGGTGACTATGGTAACAACATGTGTAACTATGTAGGCACAGGCACAGCAAGCCCGATGCCGTTGCTTGTGTTGTTATTCTTCTAATATCTTTCCAATAATCTTTAATACACATAATGGAACTAAAATCGTGGAAAAGTAGGATATCCTTCAAACAAAAAAAAAAGGAACTAAAGAAATTTTTTAGTATAGCAGTAGTTGGACTTAGAAAAGCGCACCGGAGGTGGAGGGGAGGGGAAAGAGAATAGGAGGATTTGAATTCAAAACCTCTAATTTTAAAATCTCAACCTTAATCTTTTTTTTTTTTTTTTTAAAGTTCTAACAGAAAAAGAATGAAGTTTAAGAAAGGGCAAATTATCCAATTGGCCCTTGAACTCTTTGTCCAAATAAAAATAAGCCCCTCATCTATTTTTTGCTGACTTTAAGCCCTCGAACTTGTAAAATTGAACACCTGTGACTCTTTTAGCCAGTTTCTCCGGTTTTACAACTAGAAGGCCAATTCACACGAATGACAGTGTACTTTAAAGAAGGGCATTTTTGTCCGCATATTCTAAGCAAAGAGTGAACAACTCCATCGTCTTCGTTTTCCCTAACCCAACCAAACGGGCATAGATTTCCATAGTTCTTAAGCTTCTGCAAATCGGGGGTAACTGAGTTCGACTCAGTGCATCCGATTGAATTCAGCAGTGAGTCCGAGAGACAGGAATCGGATTCCGTAGAAAAGTCCAACTCATTCGTGGAGACGGAGAAATACGTGGCTCCCGAGATTTTAATCGGGAAAGGTCGCGATTTCGCGGTGGATTGTTGGTGCTTGGGCTTCATGTTGCATGAGATGCTCTACGGGATGATGTCGTTTAAGGGGTCATTGAAGATACCTGAAAATCCGAAGTTAATTGAAGCTTTCGGTTTTCAAAATAATACTGCCTGAAACGATCCTCCAGCCTAAGAGTCTGGTGAATATGATGGGCTTGGTACAAGGGCATCAAATCAAATCCCAAAGCCCCTGCCCCGCCGTTAGCATAGCCTTCCCTGTTATTCTCGCTGAATCCGTCTAGCCCTTCATCATCTTCTTCCTCAAGCGCGTAAACGCAGTCCCGAAGACTGAGACGACTCTGCTCCTCGGCTTGCCTCTGCTTGATCTTGAGCTCCTCCTCTCTTTGCTTAGCAGCTGAGGCTTGCCCAATCTCGAGTTGACCCAGATTCCGACTCACTATTCGACTCTCCACCAGCCAGTCCCCAAACTCCTTGCTTACTTTCCTCTTTATATGAGCTCGAATCTTGAGGATCTACTTCTCCAGCATGCGCCGAAGAGTAGACGACGGCATCTTTTTTAGAAACTCACGCTCAATCGAGTCCATGCACTTGAGGGCCATGTAGAAGTTGTTGTTGGAGAGATGAAAATTGGCTCGGGAGCAGAGCTCAACTAATTGAGCACAGGTCCGAAAAGATTCAATGGCAAGTGATGTTCTTGCATTTGTTGCGGGCCTCGACGAAGGAATCCAGTGAGGTGAGCAAGGGGAGGGCGATGGACTGAAGCTAGGAGTTGGAAATGGAGAGAGAGGATTTGAGGGAATCGACATCGGAGAGGAGGGAGCGGAAGTCGTCGACTGCCATGATGAAGTCTTGGTAGTGGGCCCTACAAACGTCCTCAATTTTAGACTCTTTGGATCGGGAGAAGCGTTGGAGGTGGTGAAAGAGGGTCTCGAGTTCATCGGAGGTACGAAGGGGCCTAAGTCCTCACCGTTACAGATTGCAGGTTAGGTCAGGGAAAGGGAAGAAGATAGAGTTGTTCACTCTTTGCTTAGAAAATGCGGACAAAAATGCCCTTCTTTAAAGTACACTGTCATTCATGTGAATTGGCCTTCCGGTTGCAAAATCGGAGAAACTGGCTAAAAGGGTCACGGGTGTTCAATTTTACAAGTTCGAGGGCTTAAAGTCAACAAAAAATAGATGAGGGGCTTATTTTTATCTAGACAAAGAGTTCAAGGGTCAATTGGATAATTTGCCCTTTAAGAAATATGGAGGGGCTAGAAGGATTAAAATACAACATCTCTAATTTTTCAAGTCTCAATCCTCAAGTTTAGTCATTAGATCAAGGCATCCTCAATCAAATAACTACATTAATATAGTAGAAAAGTAGTTATGTACAATGCGGATTTAGAAAATATTGATTATGATGATTTTGACCCCACAAGGTTTGAACATTATCCATAAATTCAATAATGATACAGTAAATATGAATTAGACATTCGGGATACGGGGATTGGAGCATGAAAATCATTTTTCTGAGACGATTTATTAAACTTTTTTTTTTTTTGGAAAGAACGATTTATTAAACTTTAAAGTCCGCCCTGAACGACGTGTGACATGAAACTAGTAAAGAGCTACCGTCGTCCATTGGCTTTTGTCAAATCCGGATCAGACAAGATAGCGGAGGAAGCGGAAAGCAAGATTTTGACAGATCTGCCAGCAAAGCCAGAACCAATCTTTTCGTTTGAAACTCATGCTTATTAACACCAGGAAATGGAATTCATATTTTAAGAAAAAAAATTGGATATATTACGCCCTTGTTTTTAACTTCTCTGATTGTGTGAAAGTTAATTGTAGAAAATCAGAAAAAAAAAAGCATCAAAATAGATGCTCTCTTAGGAGAGAGACACAGATGCTCTCTTTAGTCAAAATCTCCTTCTAATTCTCCTATAAAATAGATTTCTTTGTGCGATATTCTTCTCTCTTAAGATCTCCTAAGTTTTCTCTCTCTTAAAATATACTAGCGAAAATTTTAGAGTTTTTTTAATTTTTGTCAATTTTTTGTAAAATTTGAGATAGTTTCTTAGATATGCAATTTCTCCATTTATTATTATTAAATCTTAACTTGTTTTTGGACTTGAACCAATTTTTTATCAGGTGTGTTATGATAGTTAAATTTTTTCAAATAATATTTCGTCTGCGTCATAAATATATTTTTCAACCCATCTTTTTGTATTTTCAACAATGTTTTTATCTCACGTACATCGCATTACAAGCAACAGTAATTATTCCAAACAATATTTCAAATAATACTCAGATATGGTTGATAGAAGACGAGTACACATCAATGTTATGTATCCCACTTTGTTGATCGTGTCATTTGCATACAATTCAAGATTGCAAAACGCTTGCGGACTGCGGGGGGACCGCAGTTGGGACCTTGGAAGGCGTCAATTTCGCATAGCACCGGCACCGGTTCATCAAATTGATTGGGATAACTAGGTGGAGCCATGGGCGATGGCGGGTGAGGGCCCATTTTTTCGGTGGGTTTGTTCATGCTGAAGCTGAACTGCACGTGTATGGAATGTACAACGGAATTTGATTTTTCGCCGGAAGAAAAAATGTGGAGGAGGAGGAGGAGGAGGACAAGATCAAATTTCATTTCAAGTCCAAGTCAACCTGTGCTAGTGTGAATTAAAGGCAGCATTATGTCGAATGGTTGGAGGTTTGCGTTAGCCGACGTATTCTAGATGGACATGGATCAGGGGACCAAAAGCTAGAAAAAGATCGTACACTAAATCCTGTGAAGGAGGAATTATTGGAACAATAATGATATAACCACATGAATCATGTGGCTTCCTGTGGCATTGAATTAAATATGACTTACATCGAGTAGCATCTTGCAGTGGTGGGGTGCAAGCTTTGACAACCATTTCTGTAGACCCAGAAGAAACACAGAGATAAGAACGAGCAAGAAACTCCCCACTCACCCAACTTCTATAGCATGAATAAGAGGAGAAATTCTTTGACTTTTTAGGCACCGCACCACCCTGGTAACTTCTGAAAAATATCTGTCCCTTCCTACGTTAAGTTTATGGTCGGAACTCGGAAATGTGAAGGATATAATTCGTCCTGTCTAACTATTATATTTTTGCTCTGCCTCAAGAGTAGAGGATTCTCCCTCTTTCCCCACCTGGAGGGAGGGAAATGCGCAGACTTTTCCTAAATCATTCCCCCGTTCAGGAAGGATTTAACACAAAATCGCCATCAGAGACGATGATGTAAATTATATGTTAAGGAGTTACAACTGGAGGCTCTGAGATGGTTCCCTGTTACGTACAATGGCGGTACATACGGAGCGGTATTTCGAGTCTCTGTGTCCGTGCAATTTTGTTTTTCTCAGTGCGAGATGATTATAAATAGAAAAACAGCAGAAAGCACAGAAATCTAAAACGGAGTAGAATCTCCTTACCAAGTTGCAAGGATTCGCAAGCAAAACATGTAGGGGAGGACAACTACAACGTTTTCGCAGCGAAGGTGAAACCAGAAGCTATTCACACATGATAAAAAAGCAAGAGATGGAAGTCAAATTCCTTTACAAGCACAATTTACTAGTACAGAACTTCTAGCCTCAGGAGCAGCAGGTCATTTCCTGTTTTACACCAAAATTCCAGAGTCGTCAAAGAACACGAGTACACGCGCCAGTAACAGAGACCACTCACTTCTCTTCTTTTAGTGGTCTTGGGCCAATTAATCTTCTCGGACCTCCTCTTGGCAGACGGGGCAATTCTGTAGGAAAGAGGTAAGAAGTATCATTGTATAATACTAGACTAGTTTTTCATGCGTCGAGACAGTGCAACTGTACATTTTCTTTTAACCCAACTATGCACATGTGCAACTGTCACTAGCTGGATTGGAGAAAACACAAAGCAACAGAGCAAAAGCCACAGATGAGTTTAAGGCTAGATGAAATACCAAATACTACAATTTTAAGGTTGGAGTTCCCCTTCTGCTCATAGCATCAGAGTATAACGACATGGCCAGTACCAGGTTTTTGCATTAATGTCATTTCAGAGCTCAAACAGAAGTGCCAAAAGTTGCTCTTTTTTCCTTCCTTTTTATTGTGTAGCCAATGCATTTGCTTCCATGGTTTGTTGGTGACAGACAGTATCAGAATCAAATACAAATGAAGCAGCATATTGTCCACTGGATTTATAACAAACATACTAGTCCATGAACATGATAAAAGCAAATGAAAAACCATTTTAGCACCACATGATAGCTACTCTATCAGGAAAACTACATGCAAGTTTACTCGAAAGGAACAGCCAACTCTTTGCAATCACTATAGACAACTCTGATGCATAACTATGAATAACATAACACCAAACAAGCAATATCTTACTTTATTCAGTTTCAACCAGCGTGTTATGCACTCTGAATGATACTGGTGTGCACAAGGCAAAGTGGTCAAGCGAGCCCCACTTTTATACTCTGAGCAACATATCACACACCTAAAATGCAGACACGTAACAAGTCATGATAATCAGAAAGACATCTTTTACTCCCACTCGCAAAGAACACAATCTTCTAGTCCATGATAATTTATGTAACCTGATCAGGTACAGCAATAACCTGGTTCTAGGAAATTTTTAGGTTTACCTTATTTCTCTTTTTTTTTTTTTTTTTTTTGGGGGGGAGGGGGGGGGGGGGCGCAGTTTTACCTTATTTTCGTTTCAGAAGGGAATACTTGTGACAGACTAAAGAAGCAGAGGACAAGCATGCAATGCAACCACTGCTGTCAGACACTCTCCACATGATGGACTGATTTTGAAACATATAAGTACAGCAATAAAAACCAGAAACCAACTCAACTACAAAGGAAAAACCAATTTGACAGTACTTACTGTGAAATAGATAGCAGAAAGAAGCAATATGAATTTTCACCATTCAGGTTTTGTAGATCAGGCTTTTCCTAGGCTGTAAATTGGCAGGAGCCTCCTGCACTTGATTATTGACTTCAAAGGTCTCTTCCACTTGTTTATTACTAGACTAGAAGACTAAAATTTGTTACAACTTTAATTTCTTCCCTAAGATTATGCTTCCACTTGTTTATAGTACTAGACAACAAGGATTAAGTATTTAATTCCTACCTGGTTCTGAGAATCTAGGGATCCTTTTTCTCAGCAGCAGGAAATGGCAGACAAGTTGAACAATCACCTGAGTTTTGGTATGTAGGGTTCTAAAGTGATCAACTCTGAAGGGACAGGTTACTTCATGTCTAGCAACAATGCATACATAAAACAAGCACATTTACAGACACAAACTATTGACAGGGAGCACTAATAAACATAAAAGTATTGTTGATAAGATCGTCCCTACTCTTTTTTCCGTTTCTTGGAGAACAGCCCCGTTTTGTATTTGAATGTGGGTAGTCGAGCAATGAGAACTTCTGAAAGCCCTTTGCTCTCGTGACCAACGGCTTCCCCTAAAGATTGCAGTTCCTAAGACAAGCAATTCTTGAAATTTAACTAATGATGCAAAAAATGCAGATAATTACAGAGGATTTAATTTAACCATGCATATTAATCCTCTTCAAAAACCATAGAAATCAATCAAAGATGAGAGTTCTAAAGATGTAAAATGTTATCAAAAGTACAATGAGATGTTATCAAATTTTTATTTCGTATAGTCTTGTATACTTTCAGAAGTGACAACAGCACTTGGAAAATATTCCCATCAACCCTCACATGGAATCGAAATCCCAGTCTCTTGCAAACCACAAGATGAAATTTCTTTGTTCTATATTCATTTTGTTGATGAGGTAGCTAACACTTTCTGTCATTTAGTTTTAATGCCAATTAAGGCATATATCTATCATAAAGCAATTATCCACCGATGTACAACTACTAGGAGATGGTCAAAAAGGTGCCATAGCTTGTTATCTGCCAAAAATAAACTGGGTATGTAAAATTCTGCAGTGACCATCATTACCTCATAAGTCATGTTATCTGGATCTATATCATCTTGCCTTAAAGAATGATTTGTAACCTGCAATTTCGCATGAACTTTGGACATTAACTTGAGCTAACTACATGATGCAGAAAAAGTACAGGAACGAAAAACAATATATCCACATACCCTAACTGGTGTTTCACTAGGAGTTGGCTCTCTGCTTTCTGTGGATAATATATAGGTGATTATGAGTGTTAGTAACATAGATAAGCGAGACCCTTAGTGTTATGTTCACTACCAGATAACCATTAACATTTGTGTGTGTGTACAAGAATGGGTCTCTTACCAGCCACAGTACCATTAGGCTCATTTATGTAGAAATACTCCTGCAAGGCTCTAGCTAAAGCTTCATCCGTAGCCGATTGCAATTGATCAGTTGCACCACTGGAACATTCACCTTCTTGCACAATTGGCTGACTCCTATTACTGGTTTGACCATTATTTGAGGTCTTATCCTTGTTTTTTCCATTTGCTTGAATATACTGGAAAGCGCTTTCCTACGAGATAAAAGGGATAGATACACGAGGATTTCACTAATAAAGCTCATAATATTGTTATACAGGAGAAGCGTATATCTACATCCTCCAGATGACAGAGAAGCGGTGAAAAATCTGAAGTACCTGTTGTAGTAGGACTTCTTCAAGACTAAGATCGCCATCCTCAGGAAAGAATTCTTTAAAATTCTCAGCAATTTCAGCAGGGATCCTATCATTCAAATGAACGCTCACCTCATTGTTATCTATCACGAAGGTTTCAGACATCATCACTGGCTCTAGCTTGACCTGTGGAAGCCCCCTAATTTTTTCAAGAGCTATCCTTGAATATTCTATATAAGAGAGAGTAATATGTCAGTGGAAGCCAAAAGGCTTCAAGGAATCAGAGTTGTAGGTTAAAAGCATAGTTGGCAAGATTTCCATCTTCTCCATGCTCTTGCCTACTAAAAGCATTAGCCAACCATGTAGGTGATAGGCCTCCAACAGAAAGCGTATAGAAGAGCTCAATTAGTACTGGTGTTTGACCATGAGTTTTCTTCAATTTCAGTTTATAAGATCGATATATAATTTATATCAACAGATTATAGTTAACTTACTAAGACAAGAAACGATAACTTATAGTCCACAATTCAAAGGGGACCCTTAACTCTTCCGATCGTCTAATGCAGGAAGGAGACGGTGAAATATTATATACAGCCATGAGTAACTGGACATGATCCTCAACCTTCTGCTTCTAATACCAAGAGGGCAGAGAGGGAGAGAGAGAGAGAGACAGTGAGAGTGAAAGTTGAAAAATGAAAAATGAAAAAATAAAACAATCTTGAGCATCAAATGTTAAAGAGTAATCCAGAATTATTTTTATACCTATGTTTTTTTTTTAATGATAGGATGTTAATCAGTTACTCAAATCTACATCTCTTGCCCAGTAAAGGTTTTTGTTAAATAATTAGATTGAAGCATTATGGTGTGCATATGTCGAAACCAACAAGACTGACATTGACACTTTTAATTTGCATTAGGTTGGAGAGTCCAACGTAGGCAATGAAAGATCTCAACAACTGTGCAGACATTTACATGCAAGAAACAAAAGATCCTATCCAATTACAGGCAAAAATGCCAAGCATTCTACTGGTTTGAAAAAGATTAATGGGGGTTTCATAGTTGAAAAAGTTGACTCACCCTGCTGAATATAAGAAAAGGGGAATATAATCCACCATGACAGAAATTCAAAGCAAAGAGCAACATAGAAAGATTTAATGCAAAAAGACTTGAACTTTAACAACAACGCCTACAGAAACAATGATTTAGATGATTTAGGCAATTTGTCTGCCAAACTGAGAGTCTGATACAGGGAACGAGGGAGAAAAGAAATTGAAAATTTTCAGCTTACCCAACAAACACAAGGGATCTTTATAAATCTTTCAAGGGAAACACATAAATGGTCAACATTAAAAACAGCAAATTGTGAGAAAATTAACACATCAATTGTTGAAATAGACAGTCTGGCAATAAAGAAGTAGCCAATAAGTACACAACAATAGAGAAAGAAGCTACCTTTGAGCTGTCAGCCAAAATAAGGGCGGTTCTTGTCATATTCGCTCTATTACTTGAACTCTTCACTGTGAGCCTTAACTGAGATGTAGCTTCTTGTTCTTGTGGTAGACTACTTAGACTGAAGATGTAGAAATTTGTTTTTCTTTTTTATTTATTTTTTAAAAATTATGGATCACAGAATCACAGAGTGATGGGGATGGAATAAAAAATTTTATTAAAAAAAAAAAAGAAAGCTATAAAATGATTTTTTTTTTGTCTCATCACCGTCTACACATATTTCTACTGTAATCTATACCAAGGTTGATCCAGTAGAGTTACGAAAAATCTACGATGCTAAACTACAATCGAATTATACAGGTATAAGTGACACTCATATGAATATAAAGAGATCACTTTAAATGGCAACTTTTTTATGAAAAATAAAATTTAAATCCTTAACCTGTTACTCTACGAAAACATGCCGCGGCCAACTACTGCAGAAACAGAGGTTCGTTAGGAAATGGTGGAAAAGCACGGGGGGGACGGGGTCCACTCAACTTTTGTGCGAGAAATTCCAAGAGCTATCAATTAGATGTGCCCCAATCCAGCGTTCCACCCAAACACATCTAATCCCCTTCCTAATAATTTGGAATAATTGCAGAAACCTCTCCTGAAATTTTTAATAGTTGTACTCACTTCCCTTCAGATTTGAAAAATAACATTAACCTTTTGCTAACATGAATTTGGGGCCTATAGTTGACATAAGATATGATGAATTTACTTCTATATCCTAAGAGTTTAAAATTGTTAGTAAACAAATTTGGGGCAAAAAATTAGGGCGATAAACAAGTTTAAAATAACTAATTAAATGAAATTAACGATTATTTTTTGCTTTATTAGGCATTGTAAGTGTAATTACAAAATGGTGTCATTTTGATGTTCCAACATGGTGCCATTTTGTGATTGACAACACTTGAGAGGACAATGCAAATCATATATTTTTTACATAGAAGAGAAACAAAAGCAAGAAAATGTAGGAGAAAAAAACTTATGGGTAAGACTTCATGAAAGAATAAGTTTTGGTGGTTTTGATTGAACTTGTTTCATTTTATGCATTCATGAAACAAAAAGAGAAAGATAGCAAAAATTAAGGCAAAATCTGAGGATTTTTCTATTAAAAATCTGTGACAATTAAAAGATGATAGGTAAGTAATCCTTTATCATCTCAACTTAATACACAAAGTTGTAGGGTTAGTTCTAGTATAATGAAATTGCTGCATCGATCATGAGAGAACATAACTGTGTATGAAATATGGTAAATAGTATGAGATCGATATACTATAAAACATAACAATAAGAAATCTCTTGTACTGATCAAAGGTGAATTTTCTTACTTGATCAATAGTCTCTTTATATGCTTTCAAAACCTCATATTTTTGAACATATGTTTGTTGTTTCTTCCAAATTTTACTACTGTCCTTGTTCTCTTTGCACATAGATTCTCTGAATTTCACTAATTATTTTCTATCTCTTAATGTTTTTCATTTTTTTTACTAATACTATCTCACAAGAGGCAAAAAATGTACAAATGAAATAAAATTATTATTTCACTTCCCAAAAAACTTTTTTAATGGCACTTTTTTTAACATAGGCTGAAGTTACTGTCAAAATCTTAAATTTGGAAGATGCTATTTTTCAAACCTCAGGAGAGGTGAGTGCAACTATCAGAAATCTCAGGGAAGGTTTATACAATTATCCCTAATAATTTTGTGCTTGAAATTGGGCTATCAATGATAGCAGCCATTCTTTAAATATTTACTTGATAAAATAAATAAATAGAGGTTTACTTTCTTTTCTTCTTCTACATCCTGTTTTTTCTTTACCACTCACAGTGCTGTTATTGTTAGGGGCAGAAATGTTAGTGTTATTTTTTGTGTGTTTTTTTCTTAATCAAACTTTGTAGCAAGAATCTGAAACGCTGAAGGGTGCATTCAAAAAACAAAAAAACGCTGAAGGGCCTAATAAGTTATTGCGTCGGAGACCGACTCGGACATGAAGAAATGAATAATTTTGTGACATTTCAATTTAATACGGTAAAATTTCCTCAGTTGTCCTGTTTGCTCCTTTTTTTTTTCCGACTTTTCGACCTTTAGCATCAATACAAAAGTTTGCTTTTATATATTACGCCGTTTTCACCAAAAAAAAAATATATCAATACAAAAGTTCAAATTTTGCCTGCCCCACGTAAGACTTGTAGTGGAAAGACAACCCAGCAAACAAAAATAATCGACCAAACACAAACTTGAACAGGGCCCAATCAACGTTGTCCTATCTAGCTAAAAACCATAGTTATTAAACTTGGTATGGTCTGATGGTTCAATCGATCAACCCGATGAATCGATCATAAAATCGGGTTGGATAACTAATTGGATTGTTTAAACAATAAACCTGTTGACTTGTCGGCAGTTCAACCGATCAACTCGAGCATGAGACTTCATGTATAATAGTAAAGTGCAATTACCACTAGACTAACAATTCATTTGTTGATTGTTTGGTCCTTATTATATAATATATTAGATTTTTATTTTATTTTATTTTTTCAAAACAAAATTTACTTGAAATCTTTTAATAAAAATTTATTTCTCCAAAACAAAATTTATTTGAAATCTTTTAATAAAATTTTATTATTCTCCAAATTCCATAAGTTATGAAATGGATTAAAAAAATAACATATTACACAATTCATTTTAAAGGTAAATATCATTCTTAATAATCTTTTGCACTTAAAATTTGTAAATAAACTATATAATTACACTTAAATAAAATTTTATAATTAAAGTTTGGTGGATTACTAATTATATTTAGATTTTGTTAATTCTTATAATAATTAATGATTCTATAATAAGTTGGACTAACTGAGCATTTACTATGGTATCATTTATTATAGTTTCAACCATATCAAAAATTATGAGACATAATATTTAAGTATATTTAGAGACCCACCGATTAGACCATTCACCAACTGATTTAACCAATAACCCGTTGACCTACCTCTTTGAACGAGTCCTCCCCCAACCAGATTTAATAACTATGCTAAAAACAACCAAGAGCGAAATCATTCCCGTGGACAACCTCTGTTTTTAAACTTGGATCGGACCGGTCGGTTCGACCGATCGAATCGGGAATCGGCCAGTTGGCCGGTCCGAGTTAATCCTAAAAACCGGGAAATCAAAAACTCAGTCAAACCAGGTCAAAACCCGAGTTTGACAGGAAAAATGAACCCGGTCTCTTTTTTTTCTTTTTTCTTTTTTTTTTACTTTTTTTGAAAGGGCAAAATATTTTTAATATGATGTTTTGATCCTTAAGTTGTTAAAAATTATTAACATACCTCAAATATTTCATACTTTATAAATATTGTCTTAAAGTTTGGTGTTATTTTTCAATTAAGTCCATAATTTTAATTCTAAACTTGTTAATGCTTATTCAATAATATAAATTGCTACTTGATTGCTCTAATTTATTTGTATTTTCTTATTAAATATATTTGAAACATCAAATATATATGAATATACCTTTATTAATATTAACATGTTATTAAGTATTTTACATATAATATTTTAATTTTTAAATAAATTTTATTTATGACGTCATCCGGTTCAACCCCTATCGAATCCGGTTGAATCCATTGACCCCTGACCCCTGAGCTCGACCTAGTCTATATCCGGTCCGGTTCTGAAAACATAGTGGACAACCCTCCCGCTGCTGTGCAGTGCTCCCTTAGTGCCTTTTTCTCTCAAAGACAGCCAAGTAAAAATCCAACAATCATACATTAGTGATTTTGTGCCTTAGTCCCTTAGTGATTTCTCTAATTTGTCTGCAATTCTATTGCTATAGCGATTGGATTCAGTTTGTAGAAATACCTGCAACCCTGAAAAATGCGAGTCAAAAAGATTAAAAATTGATATATCCTACACCAACAGTATACAGTATCAGCAATTAATTACAAAACAAACCTTTAACTAAAATTTACGCCAATGTAAAAACCCGGATCAGAAGGCGTTCGGACCGACACAACCTGCCAAGTGATTAGAGGGAAAATTGACTCGACATGAGTTTGGAACTCGGGAACAATTTGCGAAGGACACGACAAAGGCCTAAATAAGCTGTAGACAGGTCCTCCCAGCTCTGGAGTCCATAGATGAACTTGGCAACGACAATTCAGAGGTCCACTGGGATGCAAGGACTTGATCCTCACAGTAGATTTCACCACTCACAATAAACGCAGCAAAATTGCTTTAATACGACTCCAAGAAAAACCATACCCCAATTCATACACCCAATATTCCACCATCTCCTCTGGATCTGAAAATACCACTACCTTTGTTTGACGTACTAGCAAGAACTTGTACCCACCAAGTTTTCCGTTTTCCCATCACTCACCACAGCAGCTCAGAAAGAAAGACCGAACGCTCTGCGCAACAGCCATCGCCCGTAAGGAAAGACGAAACACTCGGGACAACAGCCATGTAGATACACTTTTACCGGCAAGAATTGGAAACGCCATGTGCTTGAGCTCCCCATGGTGGTCCATATTGATGGCCATGCAAGCAAAGATACCCCAGATGATTTCAACTAAAAGGTGAAAATTCGAGCAAGAATACAAACCATCAAAAACCACCAAATCTGCGCCACCACCATCTATAAACTTTGGTCGGCGAGCATGCCATTTCAAATTTGGTAAAACAGCAAGAAAATGGGTCAACCATCACTATCAATATACTTCACATACAACTGCAGCGTGGCTACGTATACAACCCACGTATAGATACTAAAATAAAAACACACAATAGAGTCAAGTACTAAAGAGATTGACGAGATGCAATCTGTTTTTTATTCTGGCAACTGTTCAAGAAGAACTTAATTTTGTTACTCAATATCACCACAATACATACAACTAAAAGTCTGTGACAAATCTACCATATCATCAGCTAGAACAGTTTCAAATACTCTAAGCATTCTGCTTTTGATGACAGGTACCGCCCTCAAAATAACCATTTACTAGATTTTGCAAGTTCTCAATCACCTCCCACTTGTCTTTTCCACGAGTCCTCCACGATCAATTCATTGACTCCCCAATCCTCATAACTGAAACAAATACATGAAAATAGTTCTTAAACAGAGTAAAAGAGGGAAGCAAATGGAGCAACCCAGTACCTTATGAATAAGAGAATGGTACACATATAACATAGGCAGTATCCTACCTTCCATCCGGAAGGTAACGGCGGATAGTGAAGGGTATCTTCCTCTCTCTAAGCTCCTTCATTGCAATCTAAAATAAGCGGCAACACAGAAAACAAGGTCATGAAAATGATTGAATTACTCAATGCGAGGGCCCCCCAGGGGGAGGGGCAATTATCTAAAACACGATTCTAACAAAATTATCCACAATCAAGCTACAAAAATCTTTCAACGACCATTGAAAGAAAAACCACTAATGCTACAAGTTCCAGACTAAAGGTGGAAAGTCACCCATGGAAGAGAGAGAGGATAAGATCTATACTCCCCATAGTACCAATCACATGACACAGTAGTAAACAGCAGGAGGTCCACCTGCCGGCAAGCCAAGCCAAGTTCCATTTTTAAGACATATATAGCATTGCCTGACTCGATTGATTTGAAAAATAAATAAATAAAAATATGCCAGAATGATAACACTTTTGCTTTTTGTAGCCAGTCCTGAAAACACACGTTTTTTAGGGGGTGGGGAGGAATCAAAGTGCAACAGAAGGACTAGGATATTGCACATACCTTTGCTGACAACTTACCCTCCTCCACCTCATACCCCATTACCAAAGCCATCCTACCCTCTCACACACCAACCTAACAATCCCTAACTTCTGCTGTGGTACCACCACTGCCATCACTTCTCTCAAGTCACACTGCTAAAAAAACCCTTGGTCTCCAATTCACCACATCCATGGCAGCCACAAAACTCAGTGACTTGCCAAGACCTGATTAACCACTCCCACCATCCCCACATCACCCCTTCAGCCTTGCAGCTGCCTACTTCTTGGACTCACCAGGAACGTTTGGGTTGTAAGTCGGATCTTCTATTTCTTCAAAGAGAAACGGGAGCAGAGGTGGAAGTGTAAGTGCATAGGAAATATGGGAGGAGGGAGCTGCAGAAGGAGAGAGAAGGAAAGGCGAGAGGGAGGAGACATATAGACAAAGGTAGAAGGCTAAGAAAGGAGGGTGATAGAGTAAGTGTGTTTTCACTGGTGTCATTTTATTCATAGGTCAATATAATAACATTTGAAACATAAACTCATCAAAGTGTACGACTCATCCATGACCAGTCTCTACATTTGTTCAAGAAACTCCTAACTTCAACACCATAAAATTATATCAGAAGCCTTCTGAATAAAGATAAAGAGGTAGGCAACCACCAACTACTGTCATCTGGTTTTATTCAAAGTTTAACAACACAAAGGAAAAAACAACGAAAAAATGATATACCCCTCATTTGTCAAGGAAAAAACCCAAAGAAAACTCAAGTTTTGGGCCTATCATAGACACATCAATAGCTTAAAAAAGTTTCTCTACATGACATACAACATCCACAGGACAGAGTACTTTGCTATTGTTCTCTGCCAGACAAGTATCAGAAAATAAATATTTACTATCCTCTTGTCAATCAAATCTGTCAGACGTTTTGGAAGGGACAGCTTCTTCTCTTCTCCGGGATAAACAGAACTTGTTTCCTTTCATAAGAAATAGTTTTCCCCTTACAGTTAAATTTGATGCAAAGTGCTAGCTAAGGAACAGTTTAAGCACTATCAGCCTTATAGGGGGATAACGACAAGCAATGAAGCAGAGAGAATGGTGTATACAGTAAACAAAACAATAAGAAAAGGGTAAAAAAAATATATTAATATAATTCTCCAATCAGACATGCTCGTTATGAGGTTTACCTCAAGTGGATCAGTTTCACCCTCCAGCTCAACCATGACAGGAGCATTCATGCTATTCAACCAGAGAACCACATAAAATTTAATAACACTCGGCATTTTACCAGAATCTATTAAGAATAATATTCAAGTAAAAAAAATTCAAAAGCAAATGTAACCTGATTTGCAGAGCACGAGTTCCCAAAATCCTAGCACGTTCATATTTCGTCATATACTTGGAAGTTTTCCGAGGGCGTTCAACTGGCACATCTTGCTTTTCTTCATTTTCACCAAGAACTGGATCAGGGCCTTCTTCATTATTATTTTCTTCTTCCAACTCAGCCCCTTCCTGCCAAATGAACCAATAAAAAGTCAATAAGCTACTCTAGGTGTTGACATAGTGATTACCATAACAGCTATCAAATATGCCAAAACCTTACCTCTGGCTCAGGGTCCAATGGTTCCTCCTCATACCTGAGCATGTAAAGGTTTTGTCAATAAGGTTGCAAAGGAAATATTAAGTTTGTTTTCAGAATCACTTAATTAGCTACAAAAGCTACTAGAGGAGAAATATTGGGGGCAAAGGCAAATATTAAAAATGGATATGGCGATGATGACCACAGCAAACCAGAATCGTTGAGTATCAACAGAATACTGAACCACATTGCATATATGGTAAGTGAGAAAAAATATGGCCAAACACAACAACTCAGGAAGCTCTCTTTATCACTAATTGAATCTGATAAATTGAAAGGCAAAACTTAAGGCAAATACTTTTATTACCATTCAACAATTGGAATATATTTAAGAAAGTCCAAAATTACTCTCCCATCCATGATAAATTCATGAGATTACAGAAAATCACCCCTTTTCAGAGTAAAGGTTTAGCAGAATCCCTCCAGGCAAACAAACAAAAAGGGTACAACCGCAAAACCTTTTGGCGCACATCCCCCTGTACCATGTGTTGTCCAGGAACCCCAAGCGAAAATTCTGGTGTCAATAATACTCAAAAACATGATTCCCAAAACATATAAGGGCTTTTAAAACCATACTTCCATACTTTCCACACAAAATTTAGGTCTTTGAGAAGAATGATCTCTATCCAACCTCAATACCTTGGTAATTGGATATGCTCGAGGGAGTGTACAGATAAACCCCGAAATTGGGACCTGGGAGATGGATACCTCAGCCAAATGGCGGGACAAGGAGGATCAATATTGGAATCAGTGAACCACCCCTAGGGCTCAATTTCTCCTGGACGTGTGTAATTCGTTACCTAATCTACCTTGTTTTGCCTTAGTATCCCCAATAAATACAAGTAAAAAAATCCATTAACGAGAGGCAAATTCCTTCTATACTTAAACCTAATTCAGAAACCCTAAACCCAATAACATGTTATTCAGGAAAACCATGATTTAAACCCAAGAACAAAAAACTGTCATCGATGCATACAAGGAAAAAAAGATACAAAAGAGTTCAAGGCCGAGCCAAAAAAAGGCTAAAAGCACCATCGTGGTTATCTACCAAAATTTGACAAATCAAACGGGAATTCAAACAAGAAGAAGAAAATGTCCAGAAAAAAAGTAAACAATAAGACTGTGTAAGACAATAAAAGCTCCAAAGTGAGGCAAAATCGACGAACCCTCCGTCCATCTCAAAGTCTTCGTCCGCCATTGTCAATCGAGAACCTGCCTCAGGATCAGTGTCTTGCTCTGATGCTCTCCCTTTCTAGCTTCGCGATACTTGGGCAGAAAATATCACGCGAGATTTTCACTTTCTTTATTCTGAATATTAATACCGGCTGGCAACATATTATAATAAGTCGGTTTCTCGCCGCTCGTTAGTACTGCTAGCTTCGAGCCTTATGCTATTCCTGTCCATGGACCTTCGAGGCCCGGTTAAGTCTGAACTCTCCCATTTAAACAAAAAGAAAAAGACCCCGGACCAAGTGTCCATCTTTAAGCTCACAACATGAAGGCCCAATATTGGAGTTCGGGAGAACCTGAATTCAGAATTTTAAATATTTTTTGTTTCCTTTCTTCCGGAAAATGCATTTGACTAGTTTCCAACGTCATAGATCAAACCAATCAGATAAATTTGATTTAACACGTGGATATTGCATCAAAATAATTCTTGCCATGTAATTTTTTTAGTTCATATATATAATGACATACAATCATAGTGCATCAAACCAATTTGCCACACTCTCGGAACCTGACTTATTATTGACGCACAATCCATTCATCGATCGTCACAGAGTTTTTTTTTTTTTTTTTTTTAACAATTCCATAACATATGTAAGTCAATTATTTTCAAATAAAGAACAATAGAAATGTACATTTTGTCCACTTCTGTTCAAAAGCAATGTTTGAACGTTAAAAATTATAAACTTCCAAAAAAATGTCTTAGTGCTTTGGAACAAAATTACCCTCATCCTAACAAATCCCTTCTTCTTATAAATAAAGATTTTCAACTTTCTCTTCTTTAGTAAAAAGACCCGGCTTTTGTACGTGGGTTGTTATGTCTTCTTCTCCTTTTTAAAGAATAAAATTAATGGCTAGATACCAGAAAAAATGTCCCAAAAATTGATTACTTCAAATTTTGGTACTATTTTTGTGGTGCTACTGATGGAAATTCTTCTGCACAAAAAATAATTGATTTTTTTTATAAACTCTTAAAGCGTATAATTTTTGAAGTGAGGTAGATTTGCGAACCTTTTTATTGTTTCATGTCTTTTTATTTTTAAAATGTATTTTTTTCAGTAACATGAGATGCAACATATTTTTCTCTAATATTTTTTGGTCATTTTTTAAAAAATAAATGCAAAACTTGATCTCATCCCATGAATATTTTAATCCACCAACTACTAATATGATTACATTTCTATCCTTTCATCTTTTGCTTTGTCCCTTATGGCTAGTTTGTGAGTTTAGGACAGAAAGGAAAGGATGAGAAAACTTAAATTATGAGAGAAATCAGAAAAGAAGAGAAGAGATGTGATTCTAATGTTGTTTGGAAGTTTTGGAAAGAAATGGAATGATTTTGGATATATATATTAATAAAATTTCATTCAAAAGTTTTGTGAGGATAAAATGGACAATTTGAAAAAATTTTGTAAGCTTCCGTCAGTTTTCCTTTGCTTTCCGCCCGTCTTGGTCAGAAAAAATTTTGCACTGTAGCAGCACGAGGCATCCCTTTAAAATCCGTTCGTTTCTTTTCTTTTCCGTCTCACTTAAAAGTCTTAAACGTAGGAAAGTCCACCTTTCTCTTCCTTTCTTTTCTATTCCTTTGAAATCAGAACTCCCAAACTAGCTACTAGTGCAGGGGGTGAAGTACTAAAAAATAAGCCTTAAAAGACAAAAGTGATTTTGACCATATATTAAACGGGTTTAATGGGGTTTACCCTTTCTAATAACTCCGAAGTGACCTACGAAAATGGTGGACCAGAGTGGCTAATGTCGAGTGAATTTGCCAGCCTGACAAAGGCCACCCAGGATAAATCCTCCGTCCAGCTCCAGCACTAGAAGGCAAGAATCCGTTGTCGTTCCCTTTGAAATCCAGTTCACAAAATTAAGAAACCTGTCCGGATCAAAGCTCAGTGGATGCTCCCAGATATTGGGGCCTCGTCCAATTGCCCACGCGCTGACAACGACCTGTACACCCTCGACCTTGAGAATGGTAAAGTTCATAACTGGACATGTACCAGCGGCACGACGAGGAAGAGAGAGTGGCGCTACAGGGTGTACTGCAATGTAATCTCATGGTTTCTTTCAGGTTTGCTTGCAAAGTAAGAGAGCTGTGGCATGTCGGGCTCCTCCTATTGTGCTACAGGGTGTTGTAATCCGCCACTGTATATACCGCACCGTTCCCAGATTGTCGTTGAGGAACGAAACTGATTTTTTTTATTTTAAATTTTTTAACTTAGGATTATGGAGAGAAGGCGGGACAGTGGTGGTGTGAGAAAATATAGGGAATCATTAATTGAGTATAGGCGAAGCGCTGGTTTTCCATTCCCTAGTGAAAAAACAAAGTGGTGAAGATGCGACCATAAGTTTTGAGTTGAGTTAGGCACCATCATCATCCTATTTTTCCTTTCATAAGAATGGCCAAGACTTCACTCATCGTGTTTTCTTTGCATGGAAATTTCTAAACTTTTGGTATATGCAAAATTATATTTTACCCGACCACGTTAGGTTGTCAACGGTTCAGGTTTGGATTCGGACCCGACCTCAACCCGATAATTTTTTTTCTCAGGTACGATTTGAGAAATAATTCTATTATTCGAATCTGAATCCGTACCTATTTATTCTCACAAAAAAAAGCAAGTCGAATATGAAATATTTAATTTCGACCCGTATTCGATCCGAACAATATATTAATAATTATAAAATATAAATATTTCTAAATACAATAATAATTCTTTTACCAAATTAACAAACCCTAATTTTGTTGGGGCCTTATTTCTAAATACAATAATATTTCTAAATACATTATTTTGTTGACTTTATTTTTTTAAGTTGACTCGGCCCGATCCGAGATCCGTTAGACCCTATTCCGAGATCTTAAGCATAAAACCCGTCGAGTATACGGGTCGGGTCCAAAATTGGTACATTATTAGCAGGTTCGGTGTTCGAAATTTTCAATTTTGACTCGAAACTGACCCGTTGACAAGTCTAGACCACACCCCAACAATATTTTGCAATATATATATATACTACTATAAAATTGAAAGCCAAATAATAATCTATATGCAGTCGTATGTTGTAGTATAGTTTCCGTAGGTGCAGTACAGTGAATTGTTTCCTTGACAGTTGCTAATTTCTCTCATTTCTCAACTTACCCACCTATACGAATGACTTAAATGGAGCGTACGAAGCGAAGGACACGATTCATAAATAGAGCGTACGAAGGGAAGGCGACTGGTGGCATTGAATAACTTACATTCAGTTCTCTCCGTCTATTTATTTATTTTTTAGAGGGGCTTGGGTTGGGGTGCGGGGCAGTATGAAATGGAATTTTTTTTTTGAGTAATTCAGAACATGTTCCAACTCGAGTTTTTTGGATCCGAGCCGGCACATCAGATTGGAGGGCAACGCTGCAACCCCACGCAATGTTTAGCCGAACGTGTCATAGATATTTTAGGAAGCAGTTTTGATCCCGAAACTTGTGTTCCAAAGGATTGCTGCTGCTACTGGACCAATCTCGTGAGGCATATGAAATGGAATTGCGTTAACATGTGAAGGTGCCAACAAACCTAAATATTTGAAGTTGAAAGGTGAGCCGGATTTTTCAAAAAAAACAAAAAAAAAAAATGGTGAGCCGGAGGAGTCGCCGTTTGAACTCCTTAGATCTCTGCAATCGCGTGTGAAAGAGAGCACGAACGGTTTCATGGAGTACCAATTAATTTTCATCAGGACGGGAAAATATCGGGATGTTACCCGGATATTGACCGTGAGTTGAATTTCCACGTCACTGGCAGACTAGCAAAGCCCTTCATCCATCCGTACGAATAAGTGGGCCTGTGACTTGTCCGGTAAAAACCGGTTAGTAGTTTTATTTATATGGATATAAGTATTCCTCTGGAATGGTATTTCTTGTGTGTGTCCGAGGGCGCATAATGCTTATAAGGGCATCCACAATTATTTACACTCTTTAGAATGTAATATATATGTCCCGTCAGCATTTCACTTTCTTCTCTTTTATTACACTTCCACTCCACAAGGTGTAATAGGATGGGTCCACAATTAAATCAAATATTTATTTTAATGTTGCATAACTCATATCCCATAAATAAATAAAGTAATTTTTAAAAATAATTTTGTTATTTTTAAAAAATAAAGTATTAACTTTCGTTAAATTTTTTACCTTTTGAATTTTTTATTTTCTAAAAATGATATTATTAATTTTTAAGTTTGAACAATATATCTTTTTCTATCTCTAAAAAATAATATATTGTTATTTTTTGAAAAATAATTATGCAGAAAATTAAACAAATATTTGATACCTCAAATGTGAAGATATCATAATAATTCATACTTAATTAATAATTCAAAATGTAATTAGTTGAACTCCATAACATAATATTACATAATTTAAATCAAATAAAATACAAATAATAATAACATAATGTAATTAATTGGCCAAAATTTTGTCCGGCTCTTAAAATTTGTAATGGGGGTCACCCATTACATGCATTATCAGGATGATGCATATAATGGATATTACACGACCACAATAAAGTGGCCGTGTAATAACCCATTACAATGTCAGACATTACACCACCGTTGGAGATGCCCTAATTAGTCCTAGTACTTGTATAATAAGTGTAGCACCGACACATAAGCCCAAAATAAAGAAAAATCAAATATAAACCCACCCGAACAAATAAAGGAAAATCGATATTGAGACAAAAGAAAATTTTCTATTAATCAAACGAGAAGGCTGCTCATTACCAATTCACAAAACGGAGGCTACGTCCTTTATACATGTACATAATGTCCGAAGCTTTAGACTCCACAAATATATACCCTATGCGACTAACATACAAATCGACTAAGATTAGTACTAATACATCTAGGAATTGAACGTTTCCTACGTAACAGCTGCAGATCTTAATATATTTTAGTGTTTCTGAAACCAGTCTCCGCAGATTAATTTATTATAATTTTTTTTCGTAATTCATTTATTATAATTTATTACGGAACGTGAATAAGATGACATGAAACAATTATAGAAAACGAAGAGCTTGGCTGTGTAGTAGCAAGACATGCAATGCAAGTCATTACTACTCATTTAATGGGAGAAAC